ATTCATACACAGAGCGTACTTTTTATAGTTGCATTCATATGCTAATTTAATATTTTGTGGCATTGTCTTAGCTACTTAGCTGTAATATATTTTGTATTAAACCGCTATTGTGAATTAGTGCCTTGTCTAGGACTGATCAGCATTAAACAGGTGCAACGTCCCGAGTCTCGAGGAGATATACCTCTTCTTACAGCAATTACAGCAAAGAAAACACAACAGTGCAATTTCGATAAACCCGCAAAAATGTTTAACGCCAGAGATCAGGCCGATTGATGGGACGCCTCGCCGTAGACAGTAAAATGAGCTTCTCTTAAGTAAAAAAAATAATATAAACACTCGATAAGGATTGTGAGTATTTTTAGGCTTCTTGTTGCTTCTTTGATGCGCCTTGGAGCGAAGTTACTTTTACATTCAGGTGGCATGAAGACAATAAACCATCACAGACATGAAACAAACCACTTTGTATGGACTCGGTAAATACTTATTATGAAGGACTGTGAGTTGTTGGTCGGTGTTCAGTTTTTCAAGTATTTGTACATTTTAGGTTGGGCGTTCAATTTATCGAATCATAGAATGTTTTACAAAACCGGGGTGAATAAATTGGCTTAAAGTAATAATAAATATCGTAAAGTGATAATCATCTCAAAAAATATTTTCGCGTATGACCTTATATAGCAATACGCTATATATTTATTAGGTATCAGCATTTTCCGAAAACTGTTGTAATTAATAGAAATTGAATGGACATTCATAAACGTAGTTTGGAAAATAAAAACAATTGCGCGGTGAATGTAGTGCAACCAAAGTTAAATGTACAGTCGTGAACGTTGGTTGAAAATTTGAAGTGACATAATGCTCCATTACCTCTGTAGAGTGTCTTTCTCAAAAGTTGAATTGGTTCTTGTACGATGAGATTAACTATTTGCCATGAAGGTCAGCCCAATTTACCTACATACAAATATCAAAGCAATTCAGCTAGTAGTTTCCAAGAAGAAGTCGAAAATACCAAAAATTACAAAACATGTTCACATAAAATTGAAAATATCGTCACGAAGTACCTATGAGCCAAGTATCAAAGCAATTGAGCTGGTAGTTTTCTAGAATTAAATAGTTGCAGTATTTGAGTGATAAGGCGGAAAAAATGTTTAGAAAGTCATTACCATTGGTTGGCAAATCTAAGACATTGGTTTGAAAGTCGGAAATGTTTTTGACGATCCAAGAAAAAGACTTGAGAATGTAAAAGTGCAAAAGAAGTTGGTTGGTTGGAAAGTGAAATAAGATAGTTGGGAATTTGAAAACTCTGGATAAAAAGTTTGTAGTAGTTGGGAAACAAGTTAAAAATGTTGGTAAGAAAGTCAACGCAAATGACAAAATCGTTATAGTTGCTTGGTTAGTTACAACATGACCAAGCACACATTCACGTGTGATTCAAAATGTACAATTGAGTGTTATGAAATTATTATGAGTCTCACATAAGAAAAGAAGACACAGACAAATGAGCGTAGCCAGTTCTCGGAGCAGAAAGAGAAAGGTTCAACATAACGTGTAACACAAATCAGCCATGTGTTACATCACAAAACAGTTTATAAAGTCACGAGCCCCTGCAACATAATATGCACACCGGACATTGTTCCAATTCACCAATCAGCAGCCTCGACATAGAACCATAATTTAATAATGTTCCATGCCATATTAACTTGCTCGTTTGATCAATGGCCTCCAGCAAACTTGATATGCCTGTTTGTTTAATCAGGTCGCATGCCATATGCACCTGCTCGTAGACACCATCCAATCAGTGACCTCCACCAATTAATAAACAAGTGCCGTTTTTTTCAGGCACAGAGCCAAGCATGCCACACCCAAATGTCACTTTTTCATAGGTTCAATGAGAATATGTAGTATTCTGATGGAATAAAAAAATAGCTAACAAATGTGTTATAACTTATATTAATCTGGCGTAGCTTTCGTAAACAGGATAATTAAAACAGTATCCATATGTTTATATAGTGTAAATAAATGTAGGCACTATAGGAGCACGCTTTAGACGTTTTCAATAAGTTTAGACAAATATATTTATTACCGGATTTAATACTTTTTGGAGCAATCGATAAGTCTGACAAATATGTTTGGATACTGACGAATTATTTACTAGCTGTCGGAGAACACACGATATACTAAAAAAAAAGATAAAACAGACCGAACATTAGAATTGATTTTAATTGATTTTAATAAATGTTCGTAAACAAGTTACATAATTTAGTGCTATGAAGTACGTTTCGTCTATATGACCACATCACCTAGCGCAACTTGTTTTTCTTTAATTTGGGCGCACATATTGAAATTACATATTTTAATAAAATGCCCATTCTTTATGACCTTGATGACAAAAATATTTGTAGAGAATTTTTAAAAATGTCGTTAATCTTTTAAAAATAAAAAAAAAATGCACGTATTTTCAACAAAATATTATTGATTGTTGTCGGCAGTGATGGCTATAATCTGTTGATAAACATCGTACAAAGTTGTAAAAAGCGATGGTAAAATTGCTAGATGTGTTTCTTTCGTTTTGTTTTCGTTTTTCCTGCCAAACCCGGCTGTTAAAGGTTAGAAAAACTAATCAAATGAAAATGAAAGCCTGATATGCATTACCAGACTGTTGTAAGAGTTCAATATGTAATGCTAAGAAATAAAATCAATAGTATTATTGTAGTCAAAATACAACCACCTTGAACGTATTCAAATCTCATGGTCTTGATGAGACATTGCCTATCTTTTTCTCTTCAAAAGAGTGATTACCTATCCATTACAGAAAAGGAGTAAATGTTATTTGAGCTGATGAGACAGAAAAAGGTAAAACTGTTTATTCGTCATTCATATGACGGGTTTCCCTTTTGTAGGTCAACAGTCTCACAATTATTAAAATTGTTTGAGGAGGTATGTGTGAATGTTGTTAAACATTGCCCCACATATTATTTATCTCAATATTTCGAACGATTTGATATTGCACCTCGCATTCATGCAGTCTTCATAGCAACCATTTTTACAAAATTGTGATTTTAATAGCGTAACAATTATCGACAAATCTCCATTATGCAGTTTTTTTGTGGTCATGAATATTCATTAATTTTTAGATCAATGCATTCTGAAAAGGGGCGATATCTGTATTTTGAGGGCAAGAGTTTGGAGGGGGATTGGTTAATGCCGGACAATGTACAGATCCACTGCACCATTTGGGCAGTAACACAAATAGATAATTTGTTGTGTTACATGTGTTTATTTCATGCCACTATTTGTGAGAAACTCTTTATGAAACATCGTGTGATAATAGGTGATTTTCCGTACAATTGCGAGATCTCGCGAGATGCATGAAAGACGCGCGTCGAACGTCTGCCGCAAAAATCGAACGATTTGATTTTGAACTAGAATTTCTTTATTTCGCAGCTTACATTGACCGGCCGATCTTCGACAGAGGAATATTGCTTCCGAATACCCTCACTTAATCGAAATTGCCTATCATCAAATGTGGACAGCACATTATTAAGCATGGAAATGTCCCCGAAATACTTTCGCGTTTGTCGAATCCTACGCGATGTTTGACGCGACTACGACGCTATGACCTTTGTTTGTCCTGTTTTTACGTTCGATTTCACGCATAACGCGTGATTCTCGCAGTGTACGGAAAATGGTCTATTCTGCCAGTTTTATAGTATGCAATGTTTTTGCATGGCATCATGACTGAGTAAGAGGAATTATTGGTATAACCGGTGTATAACATCGCGAAGTAAGATATGTCACGTCGTAACTTTGATGATCGCTTGGAAGATGTATTTATTCGCGCATTACTGTAAATGAAAACGTTTTAGAAGCTGATGGTATGAATAATAAATTACAACAATACGTCAAATAATTACGAGGTCTATTTTTTGAAGGAGTAAGTTTTTTTGAGTAAAAAACATCATGAATGTGGTGAACATATTTTTAGGTGAAACGTTTCAAATTCTTTTCAAACTTTTACAATAGACATTGCAACAATAAGTTGTTTGTTTCTGTTTTTAGTCTGCAGCATTTTCATTTTCATATTTGTTGTAACGCAACGCTACGCAATACATAGCTATTAATGCAAAAATGAAAAACAAACAAACAAACGACAAAATCAAGCAAATATTGGGCAGGGAGCCCCTAAGATCCGACTGCTTGGGGCAAGGTCAAGTTCGCTGACCTTGAGAATGACCACCCTGAGAATGGTGATGATACTCTCAAATTTAGGGAGGGGGTGTGTGAAATCCTTGGCCCAAATGAAGGTCAGGAAGGCTGCAATAAATACATAATTAAATCTCTCACGTCCTACACGTAATTTCTTTTAAAAATAAATTTATAATAAATCTCAGCATATACACCAAATTGAATTCGTTTTTTTATAAATAGCCCAGAATGTACAAATTAAATGCATATTTCAAAAACACATCCCTTCACTCTCAGGTAATCAACAAATCTTCAAAATCCTATTTAATGATGACAAATTTATAATCCTTGCAATCACAAAATCAAACAAAGCATTATAATTTCACATTCTGTTATTCTAGTGGAAATATTTAGTACAGTAATAATATTATCATTGTTATATATTGTTTTTCCAATATAGTCATTTTAACACGTTCACTTTTATATTCCTTTTATGAAAGATATTTGAAAGAGAACCCTGACTTCAGAACAGACAAAAATCATCGCTCTATTGTGGTAAACAAGTTGAATAGTGTTATGCTTGTTGTCAATGGAATACCTGAATCACGCGTTTTAAGGGAAGAACATAAATATTCATATTCATCGAGAGAGCGCCAATAGTGGCCAAATTGCGAAATGAGGTCATAACAGCTTAATATCCTACTCATGCTTACGTCTGAACAGCAAAGAATGACGTAGACCACGCCTATATGAATAATCATTATAATACCACAGTTTACCAGTATTAGCATTTCTGTCTACCGATCACACAGGAGTGGTATCAGTGTTGGCACATCACATATTGAAGCAAGTAAGGTGATGACTTGTTTCATTGTGTATAACATTACCGTTTATTAATGACGTGGTACCTTAAACTGCAGCATACTAATCGTACTGTTTTTTATAATTTCAGCATTTACACCAAACATGAGAACACTGTTGATCTTCGCTTTATTATTCATTCTGGTAATCAATATACAAGGCCAGGAAAACCCAGAACCTGTAAGTCCATTACTGTAACAGTTGTTCACACTTTCCATTGTACCCTGCTTATACTTACACTATTTGGTTAGGAATATTAAAAAAAATTGTGTGTTGAAAAAATCTAGAGCAAAGATGGCCTCTCGCCTTGTCAGCAAAATACGTCTATTTACAGGCTAATCTGTGTGTAGCTATTTATATCTAACTGCTGATGTTACGTAGAACGTAGATTAATTTGAGCGTCGTATTATTCCCCTGTTTTGTTATAAAATACTGAGTAACACATATATGAATGGTCATACTAACTAATTGTTTATAACGTGTACTCTATCTGACTGCTTTGTACGTTTTTTGAGATTTGTTTGACGGCGTGGCACATGTTATATTATGTGTGTATGTGCTGTATATTATGTGCTTCTATAATACTAGTGCTGATGTCATTCTTCTCTATATTTATGTTTTTTATATTTTATCTTGAAGTATTTGTACATATATTTTCAACGTACGCTATTTGGTACGACCAACAAGTGTCAGGGAGGGCAAACAGCATAGTGATTGTTACAACAGTCGTCCCGTACCCTGCAAATGATGGGGATGCTGAAGGCACTTTTAGAAATTCATTCATTGAGCATGCAACCCTGTCAAAGCACCATGTACATGCGTACAGTCTGGTTGATACTAGGATATCTCATTAAATTGATAAAATTGCTTGTTACATACTTTTCTTGAAAGTTATTTCCCACACAACACATTTCAACAACAAGTAAATCTACATTGCTGCCTGCCTGTGCTACGAAAATTGTCTCGATCACTTATAATAATTTTAGTCGACAAAGTTTATTAAAATAGTTGAAAATATCTACCTGGCCAGTGTATGGTCGACTCTCACGAATGGTTTGTTTTCCCAAATTCACTAACGGTTGAGTTCCATTTGAGTTAGACGAATCTCATATCAGACTCAGTAAACGATACCAAAAGAATTTTGCAGTAGTACTTCTGAATACAATTCAACACGCGTGTTTATATGCAAACTTCTGTGTTTGTAAACAGATGACCGATTCTATGGGCTTTTGAAATTGCCAGCAATCCTGATTCAATATGTGTGACAAATAAATACGACAATGCAAAACTCTAGGTGTCGAAAATGTATTTAACGATGTAGTAGAGGTTATTGCTATTGCATTTGCATAGCAAATTTCTGAAGTAACATATTCTTTGAATCCATCAAGTTATCTACTTTTAGAAAGCTTATTTTTCGAGTAATATGAAATAAATATTCCAACAAACAAATAAATGGAGCCGTGTAATCACGTGATCGCTGTGCAAATAGAGAGAGGTTATTTTCGAAATCGAAATAAGCCCACATAAAAGATGTTTGTGGTACTTGGGATACTGTAAAAGGCTTGAATTACATTTTCTAGTTCGTCTACTGTTAAATGACCTAGATTTTGACCTCAAAACACTTTTTAAAAACATCGTCAACGTTGTTTTGAAATATGATACCATGTGTCAGAGTTTCCAAACGGGAAAGTTGTAGACAAACTATCTTTGCCAGATTTCATTAGCAGCTATCAGAGAATACCTATGCCTAAAATCACCGTCATGGAGCAGCTGGAAGTCGAGATCAACTCTCTAGATTAACCCCAAATACCGATGTTTTTTATGCGTGAAAAATCACAAAAAAACATAAAACACACTGTATCTCAGATGTACTCAAAATGTATTACCCTCTTAAACCATCGCTCTATATTCTTATAAGAGAATGAGGAGAAAAGGTGAATTTGATATTTTCAAAGAAAAAAACAAACTCTCTACTACATCCTTGAATACTATCATTGAGTCAGCCAATCTGTAGTGAGTTTGTATACTCATTATTACATTCACCGTGTATTTAAAAGTGCATTCGTCAATGGCCATGGTTCTATGTATTCATGTATTATAACGATGTTATATCCACGAACAAATGTCGGTATAACTATTATATTATATTTTTTTTAATAGGACACAGACGTCGGAATTTTGGAACAAGGTTAGTTAAATATAAAATTTTTATATTGCCGTGCCTTTTCAAATTTCAATAATTAATTGTAAATTATATCATTTTAGATATAGACGAGCTGGCATCGGATTTACAGGTACGTCTTTGATGATACTCCACTTACCATATTAAATATTATTGCATCTTCAGTCGGTCGAGTACGAGTTCCATGAAATCGATCTAATCCTTTTTTTTTGTTTACTTGTGTTATGTTATGTTTCGTGGAACAGAAATTTGAGGATGTAGATTCCGGTAAGTAGCTATGTCTTGTGTGACTGACTGACTACATGCTAATAATGTGTGGATCAATAGAAGGCGTTGCATAGTAAGGAGTGATGAACATATTATCGGGCATGGTATTATTAATACACACAAATATATCCTAATAGATCTGTGGATATCATTAAAAGTAATCCATAATTCACACACAAACATCAGTATATCTTAGATAACACGCCAACTATGCACCTCCAGTAACATATGTTCTAATTTATCGTTTGGCTTTATTGAGTGTCAGTGATATGATCTCCTTTATATGGTGTTTACCATACAAATGAATGTCGAAAAACATTGACAGGTTATCGTAACGTGTATATTTACACGGCATTTAGTTACTGTTTTTGTGGACTCTGGACCAGAAACCGCTGAATTAGGCAGCAGAAGTAACTGCCTGTTCAAATCAGTGGGGTTACTCGTTCATTCGTCAATAATGCGATTGAGTGGGTGGGTCCAGTTTGTACACAGCTCACAAAAAGATAGCGTTATGAGATCTATGCAAATTTGGGTCGAAAATTCAAGTCAGAGTCGTAATGATTAATTAGGTTTGTCGTTGTACTTATTTTTGTTTTTGTCTCGACCCACTGTTGGAGGCAAATGGACAATGAGATTATTTTTAACTTAGTTTGTTGCTTGATGCGAGGTACACGAACGTATGCCGGAATAAAAGAATTAATGAATGTAATAAGCAATGCACAGATGCATGTAATGTGGTAAATATGGGAGAATAAATACAATATTTCAATAATGCATTTGTGATTTAAATAGTTATAACGATAAGCACACTTTTAACGGCAATTTCATTTTGTGTTTTTTTTCAGTGGTACTCAGAAGCAATGGAAGAAAATAATGCTACATACAATACCAGGACTCCTCTTTTTCCTGTTCAAACGCAGTATTCATGAACCAGCATAGTAGTAGATATTAGCATACTAGGTTTTCCTGTATAGAAATGTGCATGTATCTGCTTATGAAATCGAACAAAAAATGTATATGCAATGCTACAAGACACAATTTTATCCGCTTACAAACCTTCATACACAAACACAGGTCAAAAAGTTTGTATTGAGAAAAAAACCATCTATTCAATTTCATAAATGTGCAAATATCCGTGAAATTCATTTGCCAGTGCCAGAAACCATGAAAATGATTTATTAAGTAAGCCAAGACTAAATGCTAAAACATATAAAAATACTTTAGTCACAGAAAGCCTTACCAAATCCATGGTTATATAAAACAATAAATAAAATACTCCAGATCTTGTGATTCATAAATATGTTATATGTTATCAAAATTCCTTGAATCTTATGTAACCGATCGGAAAGGCTAAACAATTTGTATTTGGTTTTGCATCAGGAACAGATATGATGCTTGCAAATTTGTGAGGCTATGGTAACCAACAACGTTCACACACTTTGCGCTGGTTAAGGTGAACTGCTAGTTTAGCAAATAAAATCATGAATAAATGTATTCTGCTTAGCAGAAGATTAATTTTGGAGATTGATGTGTTATTAATTTAACCACGTCAAGCAGACATCTACCATGCACAATTACATCTACCATACATCAAGCAACTTTGATAGCAACTGTGGCCGGGTAGCACGAGTGCAGTGAACGACAATTTGTTATGTGCAATTTTCAGTTACTTTATCCATGTGATATATCAATGTAATATCCACTTGGCGGGCAATATACCATGTACTATCCATTTTTATTCAATGTCATGTGATCGAGTATCAACCAATCACAGTATGCGTAACAACATTGAGATGTGATAAACTTATAAAAACAACATGTCTAAAACGATTTTGGTGTCGTGCTCGTGTTGTTTATTTACATGGCAATCTATGTCACAGTATTAGTATGATCTATGTCACAGTATGTGGAGCTGCAATGAAGTTGTAATTTAGGTACCCCAAAATAACAGAATCCAGAATGTGTTACAGTCTATTCGCACAAGTTATTGTCATGCAAATTTACCATCTTTTATTTGTTCAACTGTTGTGATATGTGTACCATTTGTTAACGTAACACGTCGCAGTACCGTGACCGCTTCAACGATTTTCATCGTCTGTGTCCTTGAAAAGTTTCTTCAATTTTCAGTGGATCTTTTCATTCGTTCTTCAAGTTTTTGTCGCATAATTTCGTACACTATTTTCCATTTCTCAGTGAGCTATCAATCTATTGTTGTATTTCTTTACTCTGCTAAATATATATTAGGGCGTGTAGCTCTTCGTCAAGCCAAAAATAACATTTTGTCAGCTGTAAGTTTCAGTTGACCCCCCCTATCAAATTAAAAAAATGGGTGACCCACCCCATCATTATATTTTAAGACATATTGACCTCCCTGAAAAGCAAATAAAGAAACATTAACAGTTTTGGTTCTGACATAATTACAAAATGTATCATGGTTTGCCATAATTACCTTACCATATTTTGTAAGATAATATAAAAATAATGTTTTCATGTTCTTGCCCTTCTCCAAGACCTAATTGTGTAATTAGTACTCCCATGAATCTCTTTGTCACTTTTAGCTTCTGAATCATCACATCACTTCTTACTTTCACTACTGCTGTCTCCTTGGTTGCTTAAATCAGTCTCTGAACCACTATTACTATCCCTGTTATTCTTATCTTACTTGCTTGTATGGTGCATAACATGTCGCCACGTACCTGTCGTCCTTCCTGATCTATTCCATCTATTTAAGACTGAGTAGGGGAGGGAGTATGCTGGAAATTAAGGAGGTCAGGAAACCCCTTTTCTGGACCAGAATTTTTGTTGTTTGGAGTTGGCCGTGTGCGATACGGAGAGGAAATCAGCATTTTTTCGCATGTGGGCTGAGATGATAAAATGACTGACGACGGAAAACTGCCTTTTTTATAGCTTTCTTACGTCCAATATCGGTACTTAAGATGATAGAATGTTCATTCGAATGTGAACTTCCTCATGGGTGTTTGCATCATATCCTTGAGGAGGTATCTGCGAGGTTCTTGGATGAAATTTAATGTTTCCGGGGGTACATTTGCTTAGCCAGAATTTTGACTTGTGACGCATCCCTCGAATTTTTAAACACGAAAGGTAGTGGGTGTTGAGAATGATGGTACTCGATTGTCTGTCCTGATGTAATAGATTTTGCAAAAACAGTATCACGGATAAGTTTCGATGGTGGGATCCCTTTATATGAAGAACTGGGCGATTTGTTTATTATCACCCGTTTCTGTCATCAGTTCATCTATGACCAACAAGACCAGTATCTGGAGGTACCCCTTCAATAAAACGAATTTGAGTCACTGTCTTCATCATTAACCAAAAACGTCTTCCTCGACTATGTGGGACCGCACACGAGAGAGGTAAATGGGTGTTTCAATATTGCATCCATGATGATATGATAGAACATGGCCTGTTATTCCATCTCTTTTTACGTTCATCAATGTACTTTTTCAGCATCCAGTTCAAAACTAAATAAGGCAGTGCGTATAAGCCAGAGAAGACAAGCGATAGAACTACGTCCGATTTGGTAGAGCCCATGTCAATGTGATTGTTCAAAGTTCAAATGAATGAATGGAGGGTAACCGACGATTTCGCTTCTACTTATATTTTTATAAGCCGTATGGAAGGGTACAGTAATCATCTCGTATCACTCTTTCCATTGAATATTATTCCTTTGTTTTTGGCGTTCTTTAACGTGTAGGGGACCGCTTGTTGCCCAAAAGAGTCAAAATTAATTTCCAGTTGGTTTCTGTAATTGAGGGTGAACCCTCTCACTTTACGCACCGTCTGATTCCCACTTTTGTCTGGTTTGTGTAGTCGATAGGCGTAATTCTGCGGTCTTCCTGATATGTGATGTGTGATGTAATTATCCGCTGGACTTATTTCTCTCATCAGTTCCCCGAGATGAACATCCGTCGTAGGATCCCATTCTCCAGCTTGATGAATGTGAATGATGGAATCTGTTTCATGGTACAAAACTCTAATACATAATTTCTCCAGAAAACTGTGGTGTTTAAGTCGGGCGTAGCTCGTCGTCATGGCATCCAGTGCAACGTTCGTATTGGGTACTTCGGTGATGTAGTCATCTTTATTGCAGTGCTGGACAAGAAATATTTCGTCAGAGACAAAAATACATCTGTGACGAGTTGAGATTTAACTTAACTTTGAGGCCTGGATTGGGGGTTATCCTGCTTCTGTCTAAGACAATACCTTTTTTTCACTGTACTTTGGATGTAGATGGTCCTCGTTGCGGCACCACTAACTGTTGATGTACTTGGTGAATCCCAGTCTCGGGGTTGTAGGTTGTCGACTCGTCTTAATGCCAAACTTTGCATACCTTGGTGATGCGATATCCTACTTCTTCAACTGTTTCCAATTCTGGAGTGCACCAAACATCCGTCAGCTGGCATTCATTGAAAAAAAAAATAAAAAAATAAAAAAATAAAAAATAAAAAATAAATAAATAAATAAATACGCGCGGTAATTGAGTCGCAAGAAACGATATACAACATACGTTAACAAACGCAAAGGCTCATGGGTAGACACCTCCCCCTGCTTTAACTGATCATTTGAAAAAAACAAAAACCAACATATCCCATATCATTGGCTCGTGTTTACAACATGAAAACAAACAATAAAAATATATCGATTACCTTATTTTAACAGTAGAGGTCATTTCATCCCATTCTATGGGTAGAGATCGTTTAGCCATGACATCTTGAAGCTGTGCAGTCATACATCTAAATACGTTTGAATGAACTTGTGTTTTTTGATAACACTGTCCTGGCACAGGCGTTGCCCCCAAAAGCAGCTTTCTCTGATGGAACAAATCTTGCAACACTAGACATTCACTTTCAAAACAATTTTAACGTGGATGTATTAAGGCATGGGAATGTTTTATCACAGCATAAAAATTGAGTTTAGAAATTGACATTTTAAAGTGAATTAAAATATCCATTTTACTTATTTAACTTATTTATTATGAGTTCATCTAGTTTTATCACTCTTTTATGTAATAAACTTCGTTAATTTGCAAAATGTCGTGTATTTATTAGTGTAAGCAGGTGAATGGTTATGTCTACGTGTATGTGAGCGCCCTCTACGATTCATTCAGCCAAATTCTTCGGACTGTGACGTCAATGCTCGTCCGATTTAAAAACAAAAATATGGTAAGTTATGCTAATTTATTCTCGACGACCTCGTTACTCCCTCGAATTAAAACATACTTCATTTATGATAATTTATGCACACTGTGACGTCATCATTTTTGCTAATATATGCACGTTTCCCATTGTTACGTCATCGTTATCCACAAATCCCATAATGACGTCATGTTGAACAGCGCCCTCCCTATCGTACCTACTAGCACATCGTGTTGAAATTAAAATTACATATTAAAATTAATTCATTAATATCACAAGCAGTGAACATCAAGTGTTGCCTTTTAATGAAGCATTACAATTCACTTACCCCAAAAGTCTATCTGTAGCTTCATTTCTGCGATATACCATCTGCAGCTTCATTTCTGCGATATACCATTTTTCAGGTAGTAAATAACATCTAGTGTTGAAATTAAAAATATTAAAATTGATTTATTACAATTTCATAGTTTCCAAAAGAGGTCCTGGATGTGAGTACTTGTTCAGCTTCGCTTGACACTTATCATAAACACTTTACCGTCATTCAATAAGAGACGATTAGGCCTCGTTTCGCATTTTAGATGGTAGATCTTAGGTATTATGCAAATAAACAGCCGAGCTCCGAATATTTATTCCACTATTTTGAATGACTGTTGGAGAATATTAAACACGAACCGCGGTAAGTTACAGTTTCACATCATTTTACTAGCTTATTGTTGTGAAAAAGAGCAAACAATTGGTAACAGTATTCGTTATATTTCCGAGAAAGGAAAGAATTTTTTTAAAAGTTACACACGTCATGAAACATAGTCGACTGAACGAAAATATTAATCACGATTTGGCCAGGGAGAATTTGTGAACAATTGATTTTATTTTATTTTCTGTCTGCAGCAATACATGTATAGAAATGTACACACTATAAAATCTTGATACAGGAAGGCGTTTGCTTATTTTATATTATGATGGTTACTGCTGACAACAATTTCTACGCAATGGCATATTCATTATCTATCTCATTCTACATGCCATTATCTGTAGCTTATATGTAGACGTTTTAAAAAATGCATTGTCTTTTTTCGTGTATAATATTGAACCCAGGGTTTTGTGGAAAACGACTGGCCTTAACATTTGTAACGCATTCGACTGAACGAAAATAATAATCACGATTTGACCCAAAGAGAATTTGTGACATGCCATTGTTCGTAGTGCATGTATACTATTAAACCACGGGTTTTGGGAAAAACGACTGCCCTTAACATTCGAGAATTTTTTTTTGTTTCGGTGAAAATATACCAATTGTGTGATTAAACACAATGCCACTAGTGCACAGATGATCTAAGATGACATC